AGGTATGTCATTAAATAACTATGTATGGTAGAAGTTGAATAATCATTTTTTTTGGGTAAAAAGTTTGGACTGAAGTTGAACAATTAACTTTGTTGAGTAAAATAAATTCAGCTATTGAAGTTGATTAAATATTGTTGTTGCATGAAAATAATTTTGGTTGAATATGAAAAGAAAATGCGTGTCGTTGAAAATCAATATAAAATGTTGAATATAACTGTAAACTGTTGAATAAAAGTATATTTTGTTGAGTATAAATAATAGTTGTTGAATATAAATATGCAAGTTGTTGAATTTTGCAACATTTGGCTAACCATAGTAAGCGAGTATGGTTTCCTTGGCAAATGACCTGCATAAGAAATTAACCAAACATTCTCAAAATAAATCATTCTCCTTGCATGAGAGAGGAGTAACTGAGAAATGACTGAATATCAGACAAGATCCATCTTTCTAAGGATCTGGCCGGCTTGCAGCACACTCCTGATAAGCGGATTTTACTTCAAAGAAAATAGCGCGGAAAAATATGGGAGAGGGGTCCAAGCTTTACTTTTCTTTTCCTCTTTTTTCGTTCTCGTTCTCGTCTTCCATTTCTTCCCAAGACGTTTCAATTTAACTTTGAAATGTTCAGCAAGCAACCGTGGACGATAATCCTACTCTTGTACGTTGGATCAGCAGTGATCTAATCGGCCCAAAATAACAAATATAAATATAGAGGCAAGGCCAATACAACGTAGATAAGTTTTAAGACGGAGCACTATTACGGAATAGGGACGAATAAATGGAGGTCCCGTCTCCTGCAGGGTTGGGGAAGGAGACGTTAATTTCTCACACACGAGATTACTGTGTGATGGGTGTCCTCCCCTGGGGTGGGATGGGTCGGATATTGGGCGCACTTAATTTGGAGCCTCGCTCTGTTGTGCGATCCTCACCACACTCTGGTGAAAGTGATTAAATTAAATTAATTCCCATTGCACCTGAAGAAGGTTGGTTTGGCCAGCCGAAATATAGTGCTCCGTCTTAAAACTTATCTACGTTGTATTGGTCTTTCCTCTATATTTGTTTCAATGTAATATTCTGCTGACCCTATTGAACATGGATATCCCCAACATTTAATTGCCCCTATCCCCCAGATCCCCAGATGTTGTTCTCGAATTCCACGGGCCTACCCCACTGCAGGAGGGAAGGTTCCGGGGGTCCGCACCCTTTCTTATGAGATCCGTGGAATTTGTTCTACTGCTCCGTCTGACCCAAAAATTCTTGCTGTGGCAGAATTGCATGTTACTTCTCAAAATAAGGTAATTGAAATTTACCTGTCTTGGAATATTTCTCAGCTTAGTCAGGCTATAGTTAAAAAGACAACTTGTGTGATCTGAATCACAGGTTAATCCCTTCCCCTACCAACTATTCCTGGAGAGCTGGATACCCCCTGACTTAGAACTAGCTGAGTTGGTCAAGACGATTACTTTAACTTTTTCTTCATTCCTTAAATTGAAAAGTACCAAGGAATCTTCTCTCATAGCGATTTTTTTTTTACTTATAACTTTCTTCGGTTCCTATCATTTTTAAATAAAAGTTTCTTTAAACCTCTCTAAAGTCTAAAATTTCGACTGTGTTTGACCCTTGAACTCCCAAGATCGGACCACTAATCCTCTATTCTAACTGCCATAGATTTATGTCTGTTAATAAATCAAGAGAAATTGACGTTGTCGAGATGGCACTCTCTCCCTAACACGTTCGTCTCCACTCGTCACCTTTATGGTGAATTATGTATTGATATTTCAAGGAGAAATTACAACTTAATCGCTTCTTAGAGTTGAAAGGTTGAGGTTACATCATAAAAAAAGTTTCGACCGTTTTCACACTATCATGACTAGTCATCAACGAACGTCTTCTCCCGGTTGCAATGATGAAAAAGAAGGGAAAAACATATTTTTCTTGATAATCTCTGCTTGATTCTATCCTGACATGATGTGTTTCACAAATTCTTCGTACATAACCTGGCCTTGATTATCCTCGAACCCAACCAAAAGCTGATCAAGCTCTTCAGCTGTCAACTTGTCACCCAGACTGCGTAACACGTGACGTAATTCAGAGGCGTTTACAAGCCCGTTACAGTTGCGATCAAAGACTCGAAGGCATTCGATAAAGTACTCCGGATCAACTGGAAAAGAAAAGATAAGGTGCGAAATAAACTCAGATTGTGAGAATATTTTTAGCAAGTGCTTAATCAGTCAGTCTTCGCGAGGGAGCTAAAAATTTTTGTTAGCGAATACCCCATTTACACCAGTAAAACATGTTTCGTCAGACCACGTTTGGCTAAAAAAAAATATCAGAAACAGATAGGTGAAGAACTCAATTTTACGTAGGTGTTAAGTGATCACCAGCGTTTATTTTCATTGTGCTAAATTTGAAGTTAGCCTTCTTTCCAGACGTTCTTTGGGTGTCGATTTAAAAATTCTCCCCCGTTCGTCGGGGGAGAATTTTTAATTCGACACCCAAAGAACGTCTGCAAAGGAGGCTAATTTGAAGTGGGCAAATATCAGTTTCAGCAACGACCAGGAGGAAAACCAATTCAACCGTGTTTTGCAAACAAGCTTTTATTTTTGTTTGAATGAGGTACGTATATGTCTTATTGTTTTGTTTGATTTAAGTGATCTTAAATCCATTTACAAATATATGCTAAAGATAAAATAAGTATTGGATTTGTGGTGTAGCTTGTTCGGGCAAAGTACTTTGTGTAATTTGGCAAGGACTAAGAACACTGTCGCCTTTTAAAATTATAGCGTTTCTCTTCAGTTTAAAATCGATTTCTGTTTCAAACCTTGTGGATATTATTGTTGTCTTTACATCTTTAAATGCGAATTCATTTCAAATGAAAACGGAAAGTAAGCTCTATGGAGAAGAAAGACATCATTAAAATAAATTATACCACTCACCTCCGCTTTTCTTTTTCCGATCACGCAGATTTTGATAAACTGGGAAGAATTCTTCGAAGCTAACTCGCTTTATACCAGTACTAGCAGGATCGAGATTACGAATAATTTTTGAAATTTCTCCTTCCGTCGGATTCGTTCCGAGAGCCCGGAGAACATCTCCGATTTGGCTACATTCGACTCTCTTATCTCCCCTTCGGTCGTAAAGATAAAATGCTTCTTTGCACTCGTCGATGGATTCTTCAGGCGCCAACATTTCTAAAAAGAGTTTTAGTGCTTAGTCCCGATGTGTAAATACAGGAGAATATAGTGGCGCGGTCGCGTTTAGACTGCAAGCTTTTGTTTTTCATTACATCTGTTTTCAGTCCTTTTTTGTACTGAACAGGTGCTGACGATTATGCAAATTTCATTCAATTGACAGTTTTGCGTTTGCTGAACGGGAAGAAACGAGTTTAGCAATTGCGGAGCCTTAAACAATGGCGAGAATTCTCACTTACCATCAATTGTGAGTAATATGCGAGTCGATTAAACAGTTTTTTGTGTAAATATTTACAGTCAGGACAAAGGTTGTCTGACGATTTGCTTACGCCATGAACTTTGCGTCAAACTAGTTCCCAGACCTACATCTTACATGCCGCGTGTAGGCCTTTATTGCTAGTATAATTTTTAGCATAATTTAATTGAGCAAGCTGACATAATTTCTGCCAAGTAGCAATGGTAGCATAATTCGCATATTTTGATAATTATCGGATCATTTTTGATGCTACAATTTGATCATTCTTCATCTCATACTCCCAAGCACTTGGTGACGTTATTCGATGTTTTAAGTGTTAGTTCAAGTAGTAGCATTTGTAGTTCACTGTGACAGAGCGGCGTCTTAAACGGTCTGAGCCCGAGTCTGGGGTGCGCCGGAACCGGAAGTCACATTGTAGGCCATGTATAGTCTAGTACTAGTGTGCATGTTAACATGAACCACATGTTTATTTGAATTTCATTGTGGATTTGTTGCGTTTCTTTCTTGTAGACCAACGGCTTTTAATTAAAAAATGTATTTTTTGAACTTATTTGTAATTTTTTTCAGAGCATAATTTAAAAAAAAGGGGCATAATTTGGAAAAAAGAGCATAATTTTAGCATGATGTGGCCAAAAAAAAGCAATGCTACTAGCATAATATACTAGCATAATCTATAAAGGCCAAGCCGCGTGCATCACCCGGAAACGATGGCAGTTAAGTTCAAAAAGAAAAAGATTGAGGAGAGTTCTTCTAGTTTCTCGGGCCGTTGATGTATTGATCAAAGGGAAAACGTTTAATTTAAGCCTAGATTAATTTTTGTACAAAAAAAGTGGGTTTCATATCAGGCTTCACTCTGCTGTTTTGTGCTAGACGGAATTAGAAGATATTTTATGTAGTAGCCTAGTTTTCATGCAGGGTCATATTTTAAACGTCCCTGAAAAGCTGGAGTAAGTTACCAAGGTAGCAACAGTATTTTCCTGTTGTTTAGAGTGGCCTTGACAGACCCAAACCAGTGACTTGCTTCTCACAAGAAATTTCCACTAGAGAACAAAAGGTTAATGGTCCAAAAAACACCTTTTATACAAGAGCAATCTGAAACAAGTTCAATTTTTAACCCTGAATTAAGCCTCACTGGCCCTCACATAACTGACCCCTGGAGCCTTTTTTCATTGGCATATGTCACCAAGGACTGTCTATCATGCACAAGTAATCCAGCCATATGCATAGAGAGAACAGCCAGAACTTAAAAAATATAATACTTTATTAAAAATCCTCATAAATTTATATAAATACTGCAGTTTACCTGAAAATACAGAATAAGTGAGTCCCTCCTTAATTTTTTTTTTAACTTAACTTAATTTAAAGAGGGAAGCGCAATAACCTGTTACAATTTTCTAACCTATGACCCTCGACCCACCCATCCCACCCCAGGGGGAGGACATCCATTATACAGTAATCTCGTGCGTGGGAAATTAACGTCTCCTACCCCTAACCCTGCAGGAGACAGGGCCTCCATTTATTCATCCCTATCCGAGAAGACTAGAATATCTGACCATTTCTTGATGCTATAGAAAGGTAGCATATTCTTCTCAATTATTTTAAGACCCTGAGTGTTGGTCCGGCCGGGGCTCGAACCCTTGACCTCCCGCACAACAGTCCAGCGCTCTATCCATTGAGCTAACTGGGAGGCGGTTCCCATAGCTGAATATGGAGTGCAATAATTTGTATCTATCGTAAATACTTGCTGATAAAATATACTCATTCATACAATAAATTAACACCCCTTTGTGTTGAATCCACAATCATTACAAGCTACACATAAAACTCACATAAAATAGAGCTACTTTCTGCAAAGAACTTGATGATACCTGTGCAAATAATGTATACAAAACTATTATCCAACAATAAAGGGGATGAGTTTCTAAATAAAGTGTGGTGCTGCGTTGGTATGGGTAACAAGGTAATTTGGTAATATCAACTGAGTTGAAATTGTAAATTGGCCACTGTAAAGGGTTAAAAAGCTGACGAAGGGCTAACAATCAAAACATCAGCTTTTTAACCATTTACAGTGGCCAATTTACAATTTCAACTCAGTTGATATTATCCAACAACTCGGATGAGAAAAAGCCCAGCTCACTAATTGAACGATTCCTTACATTGACAAAATTTTAAAACTTTGCTTCAATCATTTTCAAGAGCTCATTTTCCTTAGCCCTTTAACTCGCATGAGTATCAGTAAAATATAAATTAGGGGAATTTCTAGTTGATTCAATACCAAATTCTCCAAACTAACATCATAAAAATTGTAAGGCTTGCAGTAAGGAGAAAATAACTGAGATCTTAAAAAGCAAAGGGTTAATAATTACTTTTTGCTCTTGTTGGACCTTTTTTAATCACTGGCTAGTGATGCTCAAGGTTGTTATACATTCTCTGGAATCTTCATAAAATATTCTCTAATTACTACACAAAAAAATAACTGGCAGATATCTTCATTCAATTTGGATATGTCAACAAAGTTGAAATGGTAAACTGGCCACCGTAATGATTACAAAAGCTGACGTTTCGAGCGTTAGCCCTTCGTCGGAGCAAAGCGTTAGCCCATTCGTTCCGAGGAAGGGCTAACGCTCAAAACGTCAGCTTTTGTAATTGTTACGGTGGCTAATTTACCATTTCAACTTTGTTGACATAGCCAAATTATTTCGTTACCCCCACCGACGCAGCCCCAAACAGTTTCTTTCGAAACTATCAGCCTTTATCTTCATTCAAGGTGAGAATCACTTCGACACATGATTACTTCTAACTAAACACAAATTCTTGAAGAAGTATGAGAACAGGAATTAGGTGGTAGATAAGTCCCAAAATCATCGCCATAGGGCTGGTTATTGAGACTTTTATTGGTTAACATTTCAACTGTTTGGTACCGAGTCTCACGGTTAATAATTCCATAGTGACAAATCCTCACAACTAGTTTCACAAGAGTATACTAGTCTCTTGGAGTAAACTATCCAAACTCTACTCACACAGACTACACCCTGTCAAACACTCAAGGATGCCTCAATTAATCTCAAGATGATGGTGATGATACACTTCAAGTTAGAGTTGTCTCATCATGTGAACTACATGAAGGACTTGACACAAGGATGAAAAAGCTCTAAATTACTTTTGACAAATATCTAGAATGTTTCAATTATGGATCTCTTCTGAATGAATTCCTTAAATTATTTTATAAAATATTCATTATCCCTTGACATATTATGCTTAATATATCATATGCACCAAAAAACATTTAATTTCACAACAATGATAGCTTTCCCTATTTCTCTCTAAAATAGTCTAAAATGGTCCCAGACCATACTAGAGATACGTAAACTCAATTCTAGCTGAATTTTGATCAAAGAGGAGTGGTTGCTGGTGGTCTTACACATGACTTTGGGACATAGCCCTGCAACTTGTTTGAAGGTGAATATGCCCAAATCCAGCCCCTTGCATCTTTGATCTTCATGTCAGCATAAATCCAATCACCTTTATTCACAGTAAGTTCATCCATTCTTCTGGCTAGGTAGGTATCAGTACAGACAAGTTCTTGTCCATAAAGTAAAAGCTCATTAGTGCTGCGACATTGGTGGTATGCTTCTGTCTGATCATTTGGAGTGACAGGACTGTAGCCATTTCGGCTTGAAGAAGGAGTGATTAACAAAGGTTCTGAGGATGAGTTTGTACTGCTAGTTGACCTGTTGGAATCTGGGGTTGTTATTCTGTAAGTGCTTCCAACTTGAGTTGACAATGGTGAAACTCGGGTCTGAGATATTCTTCTGCTACCATTCAAATGATTTTGAACTGTTGATGGACTTAAATCTAGAAAAAAAAAAAGTAATTGTCAGAAATTTTAACAAAAAGGAAAAGGATGTCATGACAGGCTACCATTATAATAACCCCTTGTTTTGCACCCTGCAACTCCTTCCCCTCCCCCCCCCCTTTCTCAAATTGCCTTGGGAGCAAGAACCCTAAAACACCCTCCATCAACAAAGAAGAAAGAAGTTAGCTTACTTTAGATAATCAATTTACATAACAAATCAAAAGATAACTAGTTTGATAAGCCACTAGGAGTTTCCAAACAAACATTTCATGAAATAGAGACCTCTATATAAAGCTAGCTCCATTAGCTAATGCACCTAGCAAGTTGAGTGCAATTTCAGCAATTGCAGGAAAGAAGCCTGAAAATATTCAGGCATCCGTTTGACTGTACAGATATCATTTCATCACTTGAATTTCATCTGCAAAGGAAACATGTTCCATTAAAAAATTGTGACAAGCTTGTTCTCAATTATGGTGCATTACACACATGAACTTGTTGTGATAATTCAGTGATGGTTCACTCCTGTGCTTGAAACATTGATTTACTTTACGTCAGCATGAGTAACATGGTTTGATTAGTAAGGTGCAACGGAGTCAAAGTATCTCAAAGCAAGGAGGATAAGAAAAAAAATACGGAAGTGAATTTCAACAATTCTTTTTTTCTAATTCAAGGAAGTGTTAACAGCGATCTTCAGAAAAAAATTTAAGAGAGGGACACGTTTTTTCGAGAATAGTAATGTATAGATAAATCACCTTTACTGGCCGCTTTGAACCGATGTAATTTGATAGTTCATTAATTTACCGTGACAAGCATTCTCGCTTCCATTGACGGAAAATGAAAGCTTAATCGCATAAAATTAGCTAACACTGTTTGAGACGGAAATATCTCAGAAACATGGTTAATATAAATTAAGTTAACTGATCATCAAGTTGACCTCCGAAAAGACTGTTTTCTTAGTTGACCGAGACATTTTACTTGTTTATAAGAACTTAACAACAGACGATTTAGCGATTGTGATACTGGTTGCCGATGTTCTTGGAAACGCTGGTATCTAGTGGTTTCGAAATTGTCTCCCACTACGTGCGAGCCCTCCATAAGTAGCTTGGAATAGTCTCCAACCTTCACAAATTCACACAACTATTGACCCTTGCAATTGTACACAAGTACTCGAAAATCACTGACAAGATTATGAAAACAAAAGTAAGGCACTCACCGCTTTTTTCGAGTCCGTCCAACGGAACAAGAAAATCTTTGGGAATAAATCCTTCAACACCATCCTTCTTTGAGACCCAATACCAATCCTTGTCATCTTTGTTTAAAACTCGAACTCTTTCTCCTTTCTTGGCATTAATATCGTTCTCATCGCAGGCAATAAACTCAAATCTAACCATGTAATCACCAAAATCATCTTTCTTAAAATTATAAGACGGTGTATTATCTGTTTGCACATGCAACGAGTCGAGGAACGAAGCGTTGCGAAAATTATTCCTATGAAGCCCTTTTTGTTTCTCTTTCCGCTTTTCGTAGTCCTCCTCTGGGACGCAATACGTAAATGGTATGAAACCTTCCTTTCCATCATTTATTATAACATAGATCCAGTCTGTCTCTTGGTACAAAGCTTTGACATGTTGGCCGCGCTTTACAGCGACCTCATCTTCGACGCAGGGTATAAAATCATGAAGCACAACCATCTTCCGAGGTTCAAATTCGATCTCGTTATCCTCTTCTTCTCTACCAAGCTCCACAATAGAGTCTACACTATTGCTGCCTGTGATCCTTCCTTTGGCATTTCCATTTCGAGTGGTGTCTTTTTGTTCTTCATCTCGATATCCTGTCAAAGATATTGACAAACGCGAGAGGACCAGCGTGTAAACAGAAAACTCATAAACAATTTTCAAACACGACCTACCGCTAGAATTGGCCACTTACGTTTCCTTCGTCTTCTTGGAATTCTCATGGGGCAGAAAAAAGCCATAGTGAGAGAAAAATGCCTCAGGAAAATCAACGACCAGTACGTGAACTCAGTAAACAAGCGATCAAGAGAGTGCGCTGATGTGTTGATATAAATAAGGTTCAATGGGACCCTGGGAAGTGCCTAATATATAAGCGTCCCATGGGACGACAGTCTTTTTGTCTAGGGGAGGGGTGGGACTACCGAGCAGACTATTGAGCATTTTGCAAGCAATGAGTTATCAAACATTTTCAAAGGGTAGAATATTAATTTTTTACAATGACTATTTATTAAAATTTCTTCTGCTTCTGACAACGAAATTACTCACTCTGTGCTTTGCCAGGCGGCACCTTTATCTCTGAGTAGGGATCAAGGGAAAATAATGACTCATTATTTTCTCTTACTGGGAACTATTCCATGGGAAAAAAAAAGCATCAATATTGTGGTTAGTTTACCCACCCGGCCCGGTCAAAGAATCTCAACCCACGCATAGCAGGCGTTAGCCTAACCGCACTAATGAAGGATGACTAAAAGGGATCGAGATCTTAGTAATTGAGCCTATATCAAATGATTGATATCGTGCATAAAAGCTACGTCGTAATATTGTGTCATTTTACACCGACACTGATAAGAATTGTCTTTTTATAAGATAAAGCATTTTGATTATCGTCTTCCTCTAAAGACAAATGTAAACAAGGAGATGGGCGCACCAAACAGGAGAGACATGGTCAGGGAGGGACATTGAATCGGAAGGACACACCTTACAAATAATGAACTTAACAAAAGCGTAATAGAGTTTTTATGAAGAACAGATTGACTTAAGTCTGTGACGTGGTTCCGGCCTTGGAAATCGAGCCCATATCAACTGAGTGATATTGCACTTAAAGGGCGAGCCGGTGTCCCTAAAGCAGCGCTATTAGTTTTTTGATCCTCAGGCTAGGTCAGCGAAAATAATACATTACCGAGTTTTTGCCAAAATGTTGTAAATTGATTTTAGCTGAAAGCTCATTTAATGGGAATTACTAAATTTAGCATGTCATAGGGAACTCGTAGACCATTTAGGATCTAGGTTTATGAGACAAACAAAACGTATACTGGAAAAATTAGAATATTGACACATTGTATTTACATCCTGACCGAAAAACATCATCAATTTTTCTGAATCGTTATATCTCTCCGGCACTCTTTATCCCAACCCTAAATAAATGACGGAACCGTAACCCTTACAGATCAAAATATTGTTAAGTCACAAGACGACAAGACGGGGAGATTGGGAGTATTTGCTCACTGAATGAAAAACATCATCGATGTTTCTGGATTGTTTTATCTCCCGCAGAAGTTGTGTTTTTTTAGAACCACATAAATTTTCTAACCCTATATAAACAACACCGCCATTTTTCCTACACATCACTAGATATTGTTCAGTTCAAGAAGGGAGGATGTGGAGTATTTGCTCACTGCGAGAAAAAAAAATTGTGTTTTATCTTCAGCATGATTTGTTTTTCAAATTCACATTTTTTTTTTCTACTTTACAAACAGTACAGCCCTTTTTTCCACGTATGCAAACATCGTCGAATATGAACCGGGTCTTTTTTTTTTTTTTTTGCCTCGATCGCCCTGAGCACTGGCAACAACAACAATTTGTCATCAGGGTATTTTCATAAATTACCTGTAACTAGTTTGGGCGTCAGCTGACTTGACCCTCATGCGTGGCTATGGTTGACGGAACTCCTGAGTTCGCATATATTTTTTAGGATTGTCACTTCTAATCCCACTTATCCCTTTTATAATCAGTGTAGAACATAAACCCCCTACACCCTGAAACGTAATAAAACGTAATGCAAGTTGGTGTACTTATCTCACTAATTGATTTGAGTAGAAAAAGGATAGTTGTATGATTAAAATACACACCCTCTGATTGGTCAGTATATCTTGCGATAAATGTTCCTAACAAGTTTAACATCACATCCTCTTAAAGCTGCAATCCCTTTGCGTGGATGTGTTATCTATTCCTTGGTTTAAATCATATCTGGAAAATCGTGGCTGTCAAACCTCAGTTGGCAATTCTATTTCATCAAAGAACATTGATTTCGATAACTGCTAACAGGATGAATATCACATTGAACTTTGAATTCCAAATTTACCGCTCAGCAATATAATTTTCGATATTTTAGAAGAAGAAACATTCAAACGAAAAAAGTCGTGGTTGCCATAATAATAATAATAATAATAATAATAATAATAGTCACAAGTAGACTACAAGAAGTTCCTCCTTTTCAGCGAGGTCTGTCGCACGAGTAAAAAAAAATCAGTAAAAAAAGGCGCTCATTGATTTTTTTTCACGCGCGCAACGGACTTCGCCGAAAAGTAGGGAATACTCATGGTCTGAATCACCAGCAGCAGCGCGAGTAAATCCATAATATATAGATTTACCCAAGCCCAGAAGCGGAGCTCCCAAGTTCGTAATATTAATGATAACATAAAAGATGTGCATTTGCCAAGACTCGCCTGAGACACCCCTCCCTTCGTTTTGATAGTCTCCCCTACCCTATCCATGCAATCTGAAGGCACGTACGTACGTACGTACGGACGTACGCTCGGTCAGTCACGTGACAACCAAACTAAAAGAGGTTGACCATATTCCATGGGTATGGGGCTCTCTCTGCCCCTCGCGCGCTTCGCGCGCGTAGAAGCCCCGCTAAAAATAATTTGATATCAGAGATCGATCAACAAAATGATCACTCTTGTAGGATTCCACGTGCGAAGTTTTGTGTTAGCTTATCATTTATGCATGCCTTTCAGAACTATTTAAACGCTACGGCTTGTTAGCGCGCAAATATTCTTTCAACGTATTATTCTTTAACCCGAAATTTTTGTCGCCGACGCCATCGCTATTGTTTTCATTGAATAAAGACTGAATGCATAATTAATGTATGGGGTTAAATGGTACTCTTGCCAAACATTTGTAAGTCTTTAAATTCTGTCTTGTATGTTTATCATCGCTCGGCCCTTCTTCTCATTTATTTTTATTTATTTTCCTAGTCGAACCTCGCTCGCTGACTCGCTCGATCACAAAACTTCAATCGACTCCTCGCGTCTCTTGAACCGAGCGCGAGTTCGAAATTTTCTAGACGTAGCATCGACAAGAACTGTGGGCTACAACTCTGACTTCCACATAATGTTGTTAAAATGAACCCTAAATTAACTTTGAAAGAAAATCCTTCTGCGATAAAGTATAACACTGCTAACATCTTGCAATTTGTGAGGCGTGAGTAGTCCAGTGGTCAGTGCGCTGGACTCTGGGTTAAACGGCCCGGGTTCAAGTCCTGGCTGGGGCTTAACGTTGAGTCCTTAAGCAAGACACTTCACTCACATTGTTTCGTCTTCTCGGATAGGACGTAAAGCCGGAGGTCCCGTCTCTTAAAGGGTAAGGGGTAAGAGACGTTAATTTCCCACGCACGAGATTACTGTGTGCTGGATGTCCTCCCCTGGGTGGGTTGGGTGGGAAAACAGCAGGTCCACATCAGCTTACACAGTTGCCAATAAATTCAACCTGCTTGAACAAATAAACATGATGATGATGATGATGATGAATCGCGAAGGGAACTTCGGTTGCGATGCTCAACGAGTTTGCTTGGAAATTCCGACAGGCGTTTGACGAGTCTCTCAGCCGGGACGAAACACCGCGTTATACCAGCCAAAAACTTTTTAGCTTGAAGCATTATTCTTACAAGCGTTTTTCAATTTTTTATTTTTATATTTTCAAGGGGACAGTAAACAAAGAAGCATTATGAAAATTGTGTCCTAAAACTTATGATTTGTATCGTTTCCGTTTCTGTGGTTGTTAACGTAGTAGCTTATTAGCGTCCAGTGGATTCAAGACTTGCTCTAGGAGGAATGGTTGCCTAAAACAAACGCTCGCCTAATTAGCATCTTTGTTAACGGCATTTTTAATGAATCTAACATGATCTATGTCAAAATTTTAATAGCAAGCAAGTCAGGTTCTGATGTTCAATTTGCCTTTTCCTCGACCAAACTGAAAATATGGTGGTCAAAATCTATCCGGCAAGTTTAATCCTTGTCGAGTAAAATTATTACTGGCCTCTTGATGGACGAATATTATCAAATCTCTTTAAATGGCTTCCGTGCACGCATATAAGTCTTACAACAACTGCTGTCTATTGCTGTGTTGAAAACTAAACTAGGAAATACATTATTTTTTATGCCAAATTTTACTTCCCCTCTCTTTCACGAGCTAACAAAGTGTCCCACTGAAAGCTTTTTCGCAAATAACCTCTGTCATTATAATTTTGCTCGGAGAAGGTGACAGAAATAATTTTACATTTCAAGATTTTCACTGATTTGGGATGTTTTCTGTGTGAATGATCGTTATATCCAGTTCTAAATTTTTCATTCCTCGATGGGTGATACTAATGCAAATTCAGTATTCTTTTTGTTGTTACCTAGATGACAATTCTCATCAGGGAAAGAGCTCAAATGAAGAAGAAATGAAGACCTTTTAATGAAAAATAGAAAGATAAACGGTTTAGTAGTTTTCAAAGCTTTAGATCATACTACTTAGCTAAAAAGATAATCAGTTAATCTCAGAGAGAAATCGAGATTAATTTCCAGGTTTTAAGCTGTAAAAAATTAAAAAATATATAATTTCCACACTTATCCAACCTGATCGAGCTTAAAGCGACAACTTGCGCTATCTGATTTAAATAACAGATTCAGAATTCTAATTTGTACCAACCGTGTTTAACACTCCCAGGTTACAGATTATTTTCCAGCCAGGAGCGCTTGGTATCCATTATAACATCAAGTTATTAAATACGAAAGGCAATGACATCGAATTCAATTCCAAAATGACCTGATGTACGACCAGATCAAAAGACCTGAAAAGTCCTGATCAAAGTGGTGTTTGTCTCGAAGGAAGAAAGCAGTATTTCAGAAAGGTTTGCACTTAAAACGTTTTTTATGTTTTCATAAGTAACTATCACATTTCCATTACAAAATAGCGTATTCAGCGTGTTAATATTTGTCTACATCTTCGTTTGCTGATCATAATTTCTCATTTACTCCGGAAGTCAGCATGGGGA